CGCAGCGTCGGCCTCTCGTCCAGCCAGCCCTCCTCCTCCGGCGGCACACCGACCGCCCGCATCCCGGCACCTAGCGCCGCCGCCGTCGCGCCCAGCGAAGTGACCAGGACGACGCAGCGTGCCGCCACCGGCTCGCGACCCCACGCGGCGCCGGGCGCACCGGCAAAGCCCGCAGGCGCCGCGATGTGCATCGACTCGCGCAAGGATGTGAGCTCCGCCACGGTCGGCTCGGCGGCATTAGTCGGCCATGTGACGGCGCCCGGCAAGGGCTCGTGCTCTGGGCTGCCGGGCGGCTCGAGAAGCGCGACCAGCGCGCCGTCGTCGCTAGCCTCGGCAAGCAGCCGCGAGACGCCGCGCCGGAGTCGTGAGGTAGGCTGGTCGACGGCGCTCGAAGTGGTGAAGATGAGGGCCTCGCAGCGGTCGATATTTCGCAGCATTTTCGCCGGAGCGGATCGCCGTGAAGCTGGAGGAGGCCGAGCGGCACAGAGGAGCAGCATGACGAAGAGGCCAGCCGCCCCGGGAACTCTGCGGCCAGCACCCAAGCTGTAGAACTCGGAATCCGGGAAGCAAAACGAGAAATCGGCCGCATGCTTTCTTTCTGCGTTCTCGCACATGGAGTGCGAGTCTCGTCTGGCGCCGTCCCAAACTGTCACTCCCCTTTCTCCCGGCCGGGGCGGGGCGCGCGCGGGGGCGGCGGGTGTGCGGGATGTCTGTGGGCCCGAGAGCGATCTGCCATCCGTGTGTCCGCCTTCGCTCAAAAAAAGAAAGAACACCGCGCGCGTGTGATTGGCTTTCGCCGGGCGCGAGCTTGGAAACTGCGCTATCTCTCGTCGCTAGCCGAAACACAAGGCCCACTCCACTTTAGATGTGTCGGACCATATTGCTGCTCTGCCTTTCCCACCTGGGGCTCGCGCTGCTCACGGCAAAGAGTCCTGTCTCCTGCAGCAGCCTGGCTCACGGCAAAGGCGCAGTGGCCCGGCGTGCTCACGCCGCGGCGGCCGCCGGCTACGTGCCTCAGCAGCACAGCTGCGCGTCGGCACGGCTGCGTCCTCGGCAAGTGCAGCTGGTTATGCAGCTCTCCGAGGACGAGATCAAGCAGAAGCTGTCTGCGCTGCGGCGTGGTGGCCGGCGGCTTGCCACCTCCCCCGCCGTCACCTCACCTTCCACCGCCGCCGCCTCGCCTCTTGACGGCGCCGCCTCAGCCGACGTCGCCGCCTCACCACAAGCTTCGGCAGCGCCAGCGGCGCCGGCTCCAAATATCGTCGGCGGTACCGTCCTCCCCACCGACGGCCCTGCGCCGATCGAGCGGCTGCGGACGGCGGTCGCCTCGCGACGCGCAGAAGGCGAGCCGCTCGACGAGGGCGCGGCCGGGCGGGTGGTGGAGTTCCTCAACGCGGAGCTGGGCGACGAGATGCTGGGCTGGCTGCTGCGCTGGACGGAGGTGGGAGACAAGGCGCGGCGGCGGAACATGTGGAGCCGCGGCTCCTGGACCCCGCGCACGGCGACGCTGACCTCGGTCTCCGGCGCCGCGCTCTCCTTTCGGGTGGGGGTGGCGGTGCGGGGGCGCAAGGAGCTGGAGCACGTCGAGAGCGAGCTCCCCCTCCCGCACGCCGTCGAGACGGTGGCTGGCGCGGGCTGAGCTGCCCGCTCTCACGAGCCCTCCGCTAACTCAAAACAGAGTTGATGCAGGTGGACGGGCTGCGGGACGAGCTGCTCCGCCTCTCTGCCGAGCCGGCGGACAAGGGGAGCGAGCCGGCGCTGGCCCCGGGCAGCAGCGCCGCCCTGCTGCTTGGGCTGCCCAGCAACCCACAACACCGACGACTAACAATGGTGGCAAATAGGCAGCAGCGCCGCCCTGCTTCGGCTGCCTGGCGCGACGGACGACTGGTCG